TCCCTTGTGGATACAAGGGCCTCGAGCATTTGAGCCATCTTCTGCTACTTTCCTAGGTTCATTAATAGGACCTGGATAGGAAGTGGAGCTGCCAGGACTTGAATCAGTGTCCCCTAAAGTAAAATTTGAAACTATGCTCATGTATTAGGTGTGTCTATGTATTCCCAAATAAGTGAATAATTGGTTATTTTATTTTTCTCTTGGATAAGCATGGTTTGGTGCATGTTTGTGATTTTATTTAAGGTGTGTTACATATAGCTTGTTGCTTTTACGTGTGTGCAAGTTTCATTTACAAAGGTCATTAATGGTAATAAAAAGGCACTCCTGTGACTCAAGAACCCACTTCAGATAGTAATCTCACCCACTCACTTTATAAAGTTACTGTTTGCCAAGTTGCCATTTTTTGATTTTAGCACACTTAGCCATCATTGGATTAATCAATTTAGGAATTGTAGAATCTGTTGGAATATTCTCCCTACACTAGTTGACCTGTTTTTTTCTCCCTCCAGTATCATTACTGAACAAAGCTGTGGGTCAGGCACTAGGGTGTTTCCACAAACACTTGGGAAACAGCACTCGCAGTACTTCTTCATCTATGTACAGTATCCTGTTCAAGAACCATTTTTTTGTGCTTCCCCATAGTATTTTTAGATTTATTATAAAGCTAGTGTAAATCCACATCTGTTTCAAATAACCCTCCTTAATTAACATTACAATCCACATTTGAGAGCTCTGGGAATCTCAGGTGTTATTCTAATCTGGTGTTTATTCCAAGTCTCTCTTTGGGTAAATATTTACTATATTTTTTCATTTCCTCATGTTTAAATGATGTCAGAAGAATTTGCACAGTTCTAGGGCAGTGTTTTAATATCACATGTTACAGTATTACATATTATCGACCTGCGGTGAAAAAGATATTTTATGAGCAAATGATTTGAGTACATCATAGTGAGAAAAATTCAAATTATGAAAACATGTCTGGATTTCAAAAGCCTTTTTTTTAAAATAATCAAAATGAACTGTTACACTGAGAAATTTTTTGGAGTGTTTCTGTATTACAAAATCTTTTCTGTTGTTTTACAGCGTACAAGATTACAGGTGTGATAAACAAATGGGGACCATGCAGTAAAAAGCTTTTAAAGCATGGATAATTACCGTTTTGAAAGTTCCAGATTTTGGGGGGTGGGAGGTGGGGAGCAGAGTTACAGGGAGAGATGTTCCACCCACTGGTTCACACCCCAATGGCTGAGGCAGTTGAGACTGGACCTTGTGGAAGCCAGGAACCGGAACTCTTATCCAGGTCTCAAATGTGGTTGGCAGGGATCCAAGTACTTGGTACATCTTCTGAGTCTTTCCTTGGCGTGTAATCAGGGAGTTGGATCTGAAGTGGAGTAGTTGGGACTCCAACCAGTACTGTTGGGATACTGGTGTTAAAGGTAGCAGCTTAACGCACTGGGCCATGATGCTGGCCTCTGAAGGTGTGATTTCTTGGAAGGACTAGCACTAAACTTTCTTCTTGGAAGGTCTAGCACTATACTATAGTAGAATATATATATACATATATATATAAATATAATGATATTTTATTATCTGATACGTGAAAGAAAATAAAAGCTACCCAATTATAGTCTTTAAAATGATTCAGGGATCATAAACCAAAGTGAGATCAAAAAGCTCTTGACATTATTTTCTAAATGTGCATGCTTTAGATAAGTGGTTCTCCAATACAAGTAGACCACAAGTATTACCTGGAGAATCAGTTGAGAGGCACTTGCCTGGAACCTTACTATACAAAGATTCTGACTTAGTGCTTCTGGAATCTGTTTTGACACCTGCCCCCAGTGATCTGCCCATTTCTTGCTAGAATGATACAGGTGTTCTGTCGCTGTCCTGCAGCGATGAGTCGACTTGGTGCAAGGAGCCAATAACAGCACGCGTGGACCCTGACTGAGGGTCAAAGCCGAAGTTTATTAGTGCCATCAGACTTTATACACTGAGGGTTATAGTGGTTAAGAGAGGAGGTATTGAGCTTAGCAACAAAACCCATCAACTGTTTCCATACTTTTGTTTGGAACTCCTTTTGTCTTGTATATTCTACCAAGGGTTCTCATTCACTTGCAGTCCACTCTACTGTTCTCATCCAAATGATATCCAGTCAGTTATACAAAAGGTAGCCATTCGGTTGTTCTCATGCAAATATTATCCAATCAACTGTAATCCTGTGCTTGCTGACCCTCTAGGGTCACAATGTCCTCCTACAGTGTTCCATGGTTATATGGCATTATCTAGAATAATCCTTTATAGGGAACTGCATTGTGGTGCATGGGGTTAAAGCTGCCTTCTGCAGTGCCCATATCCTATATGAATCCCAGATGTTCCACTTCCAATCCAGCTCCCTGCTAATGTGCCTTCTAAGAAAGCATCACAAGATGGGCCACATGCCCGGGCCTCTGTCTGTCACAGGCCTGCTTATTGTGGGACAGTTGGGCCAGTGAGCCAGCCATCCTAGGAAATCATCTCTTAGAAGACTTGTAATTAATTGGAAATTAATATGTAAATTGTTGCATTGTTAAGAGAACAATGACAAGAAAAGTCTGTTAACTATAGATAAAACATTTTTTTTCAGTCCTTTGATTCTTAGTGTGGTTGAAGCCAGTGATTAACTTATGGTTTTGGAGAGCTGATTGTATTTAACATATATATATGTGTGTGCATATATATGTATATATGATTATTATTTTAAAGATTTATTTTTTTTTTGGAAAGTCAGATATACAGAAAGGAGGAGAGAGAGAGAGGAAAATCTTCCGTCTGATGGTTCACTCCCCAAGCGGCCACAACAGTTGGAGCTGAGCCAATCCGAAGCCAGGAGCCAGGAGCCTCTTCCGGGTCTCCCATGCAGGTGCAGGGTCCCAAGGCTTTGGGCTGTCCTCAACTGCTTTCCAAGGCCACAAGAAAAGAGCTGGATGGGAAATGGGGCCGCTGGAATTAGAACTGGTGCCCACATGGGATCCCAGTGCGTGCAAGATGAGGAATTTAACCACTACGGTATTGCGCCAGGCTCTGTATACATGATTATTTTAAAGAGTTCAATATGTATGGGGGTATTTCTTTCCACCTCCTGCCACTGTGGCAGGAAGTATGGGTCTTTTCTGTCTCCTCCCCGCCCCCTGTCACTCCTTTTCTCAGCTTTTCTAATAAATCTTGCTTTCAAACTTAAAAAAAAAAAAAAGTTCAATGTATGTTAACATCAGTAGCATCTATTTTAAAGGCATTTTCCAAATTTAAGACTAGTGATATGGGTGGCATTATTTTACATTTTTTAAATCTATGGTTAGCTTCCTGCTCCCCATGGACACTTTTATTTGAAAAAAAAAAGAATTCACACAGAACGGGGAGAACTTTTTTTTTAATATTGATTAGATAGAGTCAGCAAACTCCAATTTTCTAGTGCATTCCCTAAATGCTCACTACAGCCAGGGCGGGACCAAACTGAAATCCAGAGTTGCCACTGGTGGGAGGAGCCAGCCCTGTGCTTCTCAGGCCTGCATTATGGGGAGGCCAGTGTCAAAGCCAGATAGGGTAATGGGGGCGGGGTGGGGAGGGACTCAGCCATTGTGGTAAAGCACCTGCTCTATTCAGAGTATTGAATGTCTTTAATATTAAATACCCAAACTCCACAAATTGTAATTTTAGGAAGGTTATTTGCACTGTAGACTCTGAAGTGAATTATCCTAGTTTTAAGATTTTGATGCCTTAAAATCCACTCATCTGTCTTGTACTTTTATATCTTTTTTTTCCCTCCTATGCACAATTTTGTGCCATCGTACACTGGTCCGCTGGACACTGAAGGTTAGGAAGTGACACTCCTCATTTTCACCTCTGAGCACTTAGCTCTTAGCTTCCCAGCGATGAGGGTGAATTTTCCAACATGTTTGAAAGCCCAGATTTGGTTGGTCTTTGGCAACAAATGCTGTCACTTGTTTTCTTGAAGAAGCATTCACTTTGTTCATTTTTGGAAAAATGACTGCCAAAAATGCAAGGCAGAAAAAGTTTGTGAATCATTCTTTCAAGTAAAAATGTTTGTCCATGGGAGGAAAAAACAAAACAAAACAAAACTGTGAAACCCAGCCAGTCCAGCTTGCAACAGTTGCCCCAGTGCTTGTCTTCCCGACAGTCCTTGTGCTCTGGGATACAGCAGGGTGCTTCATGTGGACTGCCCCTTTCCTAGCATAAATATTGAAAAGAGCAGGGCTAAAGTCTCAAAATGTAAAGAAAGTCACAATTCTGACTCGTGGCTTCATTAAAGGGACACTGTACAGGAAAGAAGCTGTCTTTCTCGGTTTGTAAGTTGCACTTGTGTGGTAGTGCCCACTGCTTTCATTTGCTGCCACTGCTTTGATGAACTCGGAGGCGCCAGCAGTTTCCCCACACTTGCTTTTGTACCAAAAGTGCTCCTGTCAGCACAGTCAAAAGACGAATCATGCCTTCCTGTTATGCTAAAAATAGTTGGAACCTCGAAGAAGGAGTTGGGAACTCCCTGAGAACAGCATTTGGTGAACCCCTGGTAGACCTACCCCTGGTCACCTTCATGGCACTGTGGATGTTAAGAGCAGAAGTTAGCGTTTCTGTATTCCCTGACTTGTTGGTCATGTGGAGTGAGATGAGCAGGGGCCTTGTTAGCAGAAGCAGTCCTCTAGATGGGCCTCCTTCTAGCATTCTTTTGGAGACTGCGGCTCCTACAGCCTGCCTCCATGTCCGTTCCACTTAGAGAATGCCTCAAGTGCCTTCCCTAGTCCCGGCTGGGGTGCCATTTCGTTTGTACTTCTCACAATGCTTACTACTGCATTGCTGGATTGCGTTCTTTCTCTCTCTTATGTCAATCCCATAATTACTTAAAGACCTCAAAATGAGTTATTGCTTTCTTTGGAATCTATGTGTTTAGAAAAGGGGAGGTGGAGTGGAGGGGGCGTTTTGTAAATAGTTGTCATAATGTAATGAAGTCAAAACTGAAAGCAGAGTATAAGAAATGTGCGTCGGTTGCCCGTTTCCTGAGTGCAAGCCTCGGAAGGATCCTAAGTAGCGAACGTGGTTTTCTGTTTACTTGTGCGGTTTTGTTGCCTGCAGCCTCTTGGGCTCCCAGCGTCAACAGATAATCACGTCGGGGCTGGAGTTCCGAGCTGGGCCAGGACGGTCTGTTCTGGCTGTGTGTGAACAGGGTGAAAAGCTGGCAGAGCGTCCGCCCGGAGCCTGCAGGCGGGGCTGGGCCCGGGACGCGCGGGGCTGCGAGTGCGCTCCAGCCCGGCGCCCCGCCCGGTCCTCTCGGCGCCTCGGGCTCCGGCCGAGCGCTCTGCCCTTTTAAGGAGGCGGGCCGTACCACCAGAACTTTCTTGACAGGGGGGTATCGCGCAAACCTCGGACAACTTGGAGAGAGCCTAGAGGCGATTTCCTGGTTCTCCAGTCGCCTGCCAGAGTCGAGCCGCCGCTCGACCGGCGCCGAGTGTCCGCCGCCGCCGGGCGTGGGATCGTCCGCCGACCCTTCTGGGAAATCGTCCCCCCCCCCTCCCCGGGGCTCCTGCCGTCCCGCACTCCGGACCCCGCGTTCCCCGGGCTTGTCTGGAGTGGAGTTCGCCTGCGGAGGCCCCAGTGCCCGGATGTCCATCAGGATTAGCGCGAGCCAATACGGTCAGCGCCCGAGGGAGGCTGAGCAGGACGCCCCGGGCTCGGGGAGCAGGTAGTCCCGCCACCTCGGGGCGCCGCGCCGGGGGGCCCGGCCCCGCCCGGCCAATGGTGAGCGCGGCGCTGGCAGCTCGGCCCGCGGGGTGAAGGCGCTCATGGGCAGCGGACCCTGGGCTCTGCGGACCGAATGATGGCAGCCCAGTCCAGGTAAGGCAGGCACCCAGGGAAACTTTGTGCGCGTCTCGGTGGCTAGGGGATTTGAAGGTTGCGGGGGAGGGCAGGAAGCAGCTTTGTCATCGCGCGCTCTGCGTTCCCGATGCTGTGGCTCGTGACCGAGTGTCAGATGGAAAACCGGAGGACGCGCTAGAAGGTTGCTGCGCGGAGAGAGGCGGGATCGGGCTCCGGTTAGGGCGAAAGTGAAGTAGCCTCCCTCTGGCAAAAGTAACTGATTTTACGGGAAATGAAGTTGATTTCACTTGTCCGCCTCCGTTTGCATTTTTCCTTTGGGCTGTTAGTGCATCCACCCTCGGGGTTCCTGGGATCGGCGGGGTGCCCGACTGGTGTCTTGAGGGGGGAGTTTTCGAAATTGGTCCTTGATGTGAAAAGATACAGTTGGCCACCCGAGAGGGTGGGTCAGGAGGTGCCTGCTTCCACAGAAAACGGCACGGCTGGTGTCAATTTGCTGAGTAGGCGCAGCCCGGGAATGCGCGGAGTCGAGGGCGAGCGGCTGCAGTGGCTGTCGGAGGAGCGCTGCGGGGAGAGGCTCGCTGCCCCGCCGGCCCTCCTGCTCCTGCAGCGGGCTTGGAGGCCGCAACGCGGCGGCCCCGAGCGCCAGCCGCCCAGTGCCGTTGTACCGGTGTTAGGATTGCGGTTGGTAGGCTCGTTCTTTGGAAACTTTCGGTTGTGCTAGAGAGTAGTTGGCACTCGGGAATTTAAAATAATAGGATTCCTCGAACTGATAACTGGATGTAGGCAGGTGATTTGGGGATGTCAGATGCAATATCAGGAAACTGAGAACATGGAGAGCCGATAAATGCATCAGTGTTGAAGCTGGACCCCTGAGATGTTGAGAAATTTCTCCAAGAAAGGACTTTGTAGCAAGAACTTACTGCTGTGTGATACCTGGCTTCTTAGCTTAATCCTCTCAGCTGGGAGGATTGTGCTGCTCATAGATTTTATTGCCCTAGGGAAGGGGCTGTTAAACCCGGGATAAGTAGGACTCATCAAGAAGCAGCCTAATTTTTTCTGTCCACTGAAATTTAGCTTTTGTTGCAGTACAAATGTAGACAAAAACTAAAGTACCAGTGTACGTGGTGTTGCCAGAAACACAAGCCACAGATTTTCCTCATGTTATTACAATGCTTGTACATCCTTTTAACATGTCTTTTACACTTACCACCTCTGAAATGAAGGTGCTGTTGTATCTTATTTAATTTGATAACAAAAAATACTGTCTCCTCAATCTTTCAGATGTATGTTACTTTGTAGTTTTTCCTTTGTGTATTTTACCTTATGTGTTTTACAGTGTTTCCTGCAATGTTACAAACATTCTGTATTTAAAACATTATTCAGCAAATTGTCATATGGATCTATGGCCAAAGCCTTAGATTAAGATAACTTGAACTAAAAAAAAAAATTAAACAATTGCTCTCTGATGGTTCAGTAATCCAGATGCGGTACTGAAATTTGAACCGAGGTGTGACTGATTCCGAAGTCAGGGCCCTTAAGCAGTTGTTAAAATTACAGTGAGATAAAAGCTAATTGGACTGCTGATGCCAGGCACAGTGCTAGGCAGGTTTCGTGCTGTGTGTCATCCACAAAGGTAGACGTTGGATCATTCACATTCGGTAGTGAAGGAAACTGTGAGGCCCGCCCCAGAGTTCTCACAGGTGGAGCAGGGCCTGACTTCAGAAGGCTGTTTTGCAGCACTTCCTCACATGCATGCGACCTCTTTAATGCTGAGCTGAGAAGTTAAAAGGGCTGCATAGCAATTTCTGCTGAATTGCTTTGCACCAAGATGTGCTGGTCTGAGTTAATCATTGTGGTGGTCCAGTTTGCCAACAGTTAAATGACAATGTACTATCTCACAAGTTTTGTAAATTTAAAAATATTATGAAAGGCAATGATTTAAAAAAAAAATTGGAGGGCTATACTGTATTTATTGCTGATCCCCTGCTTTGCCTCAGACATCCCCCAACCTAGGCACAGAGAGCCATCAGGCTGTTGTGTCTTGTTTCTTAGGCTGCATATTGGGAGGGAATATTGCTCACATGTAGTAAATATCCATTTTGTTCAGTTATGCAAGGATGTGTTCATGCTTCTCCAAAACTTGTGCTTTACCCTCAGGTTGATGATCTCTGAGATCGTATGTGGAGAGGTGTCAAGAAATTTTGGATTTCAGGGACACCCTAAACTTGGGCCACATTGTTCTGAGAAGCGCTTAGAGAAACAGAAGTACTGCCTTGTGTTGTATGTAACAGCTTGACCATTTTCCACACACAGTTTTCCTCAGACAGTTAATTTAGATTATTGGACTCATTGGCCTTACAGTTTCATAGCTTAGTGTTTAATCACAGTAGATTCTGACTTATGAAATCGAGTCATGGAGTGTGAGGGCAACCAGCGGCACTTGGTTTCATCACTTGGCACTGTGATGGCAGGTCATTCTTGATTGGTATTGCTTGATGGTGTATAAGTACTTTTCCATGTGAATACACAAGGGTAGACTCTGCCATTCTCTCATCAGCTCCATGAGGCTATAATTCTGTCCCTCTTTTTAAGTATTTCCTACATAAGTCAGAAGCAGTTTGAATGACAGAGGGATTAGCTAAGCATTTCTTTTGTAAATTGAGATTATTTGTTCCTGTACTTAATTTCAGGACTTCCAAGTAGGAAATTAGATTTGTTTTTATAGTTGATTTTAAAAATGTGAATTGTCCCATCTTTTCAAAGAGGGCCAGTATTTTGAGAACAATGTTATTTTTTTATGGCTGTTGAAAAAGATACAGAGTCACTTAGAAATGCAGCATTGGTTACTGCACGACTGTGCCATGGCTTGGCTTTGAGAGGGACAAGTGTGTGCTTTTTTTTTTTTTTTTTTTTTGAACTTGTGAATGTAGTTGATACATTGACTCTGCTTCCTTGTCAGAATTGTAACAGACTTGCTTCCTTTATCGTGAAATGGTTACAGTTCATTTCATGACTTTTCAGGATTCTAGGCTAATGGGCAGCAAGGCTGTTTTTGCTTTTTTTTTTTTTTTACAGAAATAAAAACAATCCTATTCCTGCAAAACTGTATAAAATAAGTAAATAAATCAAACCCAGACATTCCTGGGGCATGGTGTTGTGGCTCAGTTGGCTAAGCTTAGCCTGTCATTCTGGCATCCCATAAGGGTGAGATTTCTCCCCCACTCCGTGTTTCTTTAGGGCGTTCTTTTTTTTCTTTCTTTCTTTCTTTTTTTTTGAGAATTAGTCAGCTGTCCTTTTATTCAGACCAGCTTGCTTTATGCCGAGGAGTGATACTGATGGATAGATTAAAAAGGAGTGCTTTGTTTGAGTCCCCTTCTCCGCCAGCCTCCTCAGTGAAGTCTTAGAAATAAATACATGCATACCTCCAGCTACCACCAGGGATTAACCCATTTTTAGAAAGCACCTTGTGCTGCCTGGGAAGATGTGGCTCATCTCAGCCTCAGTGGAGGCAGGGTGTTGGTAGGACTGTGGGAAGTTGAACTTGCTTTCTGGTAGAGTGTTCTCTGGTGACAGAGCTCCTATGGTCTCCACGCCACTGCCCCCCAAAAAATACAACCTGAAAAGGGAAATTATCCTTAGTGTACTCTCCTACAGTTTTGACTTTGTATTTTCATTAATTGCAATGTCAGTGAAGCTTAAAAAAAGATCAATAGAGAAGCAGAGTCAGATTGTTCCCAAGATTAATATGGAACTGGTTTTTGGTGGCTCTGTGGCCCTGCAATGCAAAGTTTTCCATTACTGAAGGTGGTGCTCTTAAACTGATACAGAACCAACTTTACCCCACCCTGTGCCCCCACCTCTGATTTATGAGCTACTGATTGACCTTGGAAGAAAATTCTTGAATACTAAGCAGTGCAGATTAAATATGAGCCAACATGAAAGAAGAAAGCTGCAGCTTGTAAAGAGCAGCTCAAGGAAGAGATTTGGAGAGGAAAATAATTTAATGCAGTGTTTTGACCAATGACTGTCCTCATTTTTTCCTTTATGACACCTCTGTAAACAGTGTCCTTGACAGAAGAGGAACACAAACAGATCTCCTAAGCGATTTCTTCCTCCTCTTTCCTGAGAGCCCAGCTGAGCCTCCTGACTCACAGTCTGCAGCTCCTTCCATGATAGAGACAGAGGAGCCATGAGTCATAGTTTTCTTTTTGAGTCATCTGGTTTATGGGGAATGTTGTTGTTTGGCAAAATTCATGCGAATTATCTCTCCAGAGATTCTATACCATTATCCTAAGAAGGTATTCAACAGTTAGACCTATACTTTATGAAAAAAGGAATTTAATTAAGATTGTATTTAAAAATGTTGAATTTCAATATATTCAGCAATGAAAAAAATGCTGTCTTAATTGTACATGGTAGAGAAAAAGTGCATCATCTTGATCCTGTCATTTACTTGTTTTAAGCAACCAGGTCTATGTGCATATTACCTAATAGCTATAAAACAGGAATTATAAGGCAGATTACCTTCACTAGATCTTTCAGGTGTGACATAAAACTGGATTGCTTCTAATTATGTAAATGTACCTTTCTGTTGGGAAACCCCCACATCCTTTCTTTTCTAATTTAGACAAACATTCTACTTCTGTATGCCAGACGGAGTGGAAATGTAGTTTGCATCTATAGGGAAGCGGGCTTGGCCATTGTCTCTGTTCTGGTTCAAGTTACATTCTGCTGATATGGTGAGTGTGTAAGTTTTTCCCAGGTTAAGTGCTTATCTATTTTTTTCTCTTCTACGTGTATACTGAAATGAGAAACATTTGAAGGAGAGCAGGATGGTGTTCTACGTTCCTTGAGTCATTAATTCATTTTATTGTGAATATAACACATTCATTTGCCTAGAATATAACAAGTAGAATGTACAGTGAGGTCTTCATATGCCACGTGAAGTTTAGAATTACAGCTTAGGAGAAAAAGATACATAGACTTGGAGGCTACTGCCCTAGGGAACCAAAAGTAAA